AGCCAATGTAAAACACATACAAAGAAATAGATAACTTGCCAGTTGCATACTAGAGTACATCAATAATGCTCTGACTAGGGATAGGCTGAGCAGTGCAAAATTTGAGAGTTTTTTTGCTGAAAGCTTTCCATAAAAGATATTGGCTGCCATTGTATACCTATTACAGGGCAGCAGGTTTGATTGGAAGTACACTTAAATGCCCATCTCCACCTTTGCAGAAGTATTTTAAAGAAAAACCATATGCCAGCAATGTATACCGAGTCTACATGAAGCAGGCTTACACAGCTGCTGTATATAAACACAAACTATTTTTTGTTAGCTTTCCTCTTCACGGCTCCTTTAGAAATGGCCGCCTCTGTGCTCTACAAGCAGTCTGTGTCAATTAACACTCTCTCTCTGAGCCCCCCCATTAGTATTTATAGTGGCAACCCCAACCCCCCCCTTCCCCTCCAGACAGTGTATTGTGACCTGGAAAGGTAGAGCTGGTGTGCAGTGATCCTGTTACAATGACTCACAGGGAGGGGGCAGCTGCTTTACAATCTGACCCCCGTTTCTTCCTGTGGAGAAAAATTTCAATTTGTAGGACTCTGGCCTACTAAAAAGTCCACAAACAAGTGAAGAAAGTCAGCAATGCGAGTCATGAAAATGCACTGCACCTCTACAATAAAATGTAAAAATCACTTATAAAAAGGTGGAAATGGGCTTTAACTTCTGAACTTTACAGAAGCACACAGGTCTCATTCTTACATCATTGTATCATTTTCCCCTTTTGTTGCCAGAGGCATACATACCATACAGTGCTGAAAATGCAAAACACACACAACCAGTTTCGTGGAAAAGTTAAAACGCCACAACAATACTATAGTGTACCAAGTGTATATTTAAATTTACTGTATGCAATCTAACATCACATTTGGTCATAATTTATCGAATATACATAAATGATTGAAGTAGTAAAAGGACTCTTTTTTTCAAGAGAATAAGATCTTGTGAAAAAGGGAATAAAATAAAATAATGCACAATAGAATTTAAAGCCAGGTCCAAAGTTCTAAGCTCTGAGTGAGTTTGCTCCTAATAAAGCAGATTTTTGTGAAATGTATATATAGACAGTTCTACAAGGAGCAAACTTTAGAAGTCTGGAAAAGAAAAAAAAAAAGGGGGGGGAGGGAATAAGACTTACACTACTTACATATTCACAAAGCAAAACATAAATTTCACGTTTTAAAATAGTCTCTTTTCAAACCTTTAAACAAACTAAATCTATTTTGGACCCCACCAAACAGAAAAAAAAGAAACAGTTACTCATATTTTTACATTTAGGAGGTATTATGCTTTCAGAGATATATAAAAAGAAAAAAAAAAACGATATTAGTTCCCAGAAATTCCTATCACTAACAATGACAAGCCAATTCTTGTTAGGCAAGGGGACTGTAATAATGACTTAGTAACTGAATTTATTAGAAATTTACACAGCAAACCCGTTTAGTGAGATAGTAAAAGCAGCAGTGACACTTTGCAACAGTTTTCTGAACAGCAGCAGTCACTCGTGAAAGATTTGTTGCAGGCCTGGATTGATTTTCTCATTTGTTTTCAGTTGTGCAGGGCCCATCACGGAGCACATAGATATATTAAAAAAAAACTGCTATTGTGGTGGAAAAATAAAACCTTCCCACAGACACCTCCACATATAATGGTGGTCACAATAAAGCAGATGTCTCAGAGATTGATGGTAAAAAAAAAAAAACACAGTCTGCCTGTCGCCACTCTTATTGGCTGTGTTAAATCAGCTCCCGGCTTCACTGAGAATTCCGAAATGTAGGAAGATTTCTCTATGCTGTAACAAATGCATCTGACACTTATGCTAGCCGTACAGGACTCAAATTTCAGCTGATCCTTGCTATACTGCCCAAAATATCGAGCTATGGGCGCCCATGTCGGCTTGACGAGTTAAAAACAGGGACTGAGCCGGAAGGAAAACAATCGCCTGCAGTCACTGTTCAATGAAGTTCGCAATTACTATTGAAACACTGAAGTACTGAATACAGTAGCCAGCAAGGGAGATTCCTCGATCCATGCGGTTTAACATGAATGGAAGGATTTAGTGATTTACTCTTGTTCATCCCTCCAGCCAACAAAGTGTCTATGGGCAAGCCTGATAAGAGCTTGTTATTGACCTCCAGTTCATCTGTACATGGTATAAAGACAACTTGCCACTTGCTTTTGTCCACAATTTATGCCGGCCATACACATTGACATTTGCAGGCTATTTTAAACCACTTTCAATCACAAAAACGATTTTACAGATGAGGCAAACTACCACCAGTGATCTTCATAGAAATGGTTGGCGGTAAGTTGGCTCGGTATGATTGCTCATTTCTGCAATTAAAACCGATTGAAAACGGTCATTTTTAAGTAGATTCCACCATGAATATAGTCAGCACTAAGGGCAGAAAGAATGAAAAAGAACAAGAAAAACAGGAGACTGTAGAGAAGCTGCCAATGGCAACAACACTTATCCATTTAACAGTGAATTAAGCCATGTTCACACCAGGGCGTATCGTGAACACACGCCAAACACGCACAAAAAATAATAAATTTGTGACATGCACTACTTTTCGGAGATTGGCACGCATCCAGGGACCCAATGGGGATCAAAGGGGATGAGCGCCAAAGTCCAGCAAACATGCATTCCCACTACGTCCTGGTGTGAACGGGGCCTAAAAGATGAACTATATTCACTTCTCCCCTGTAGTTCTAATAACATATATCCTTTCATAGTTCCACCCCTAGGGGCGACCACACACGCATCCGCAAATTCAAGCTTACATTTCAACAATTGGAAGTCTGTTGGACCATGTAGGGAGTTAACTAGGAGGCGATAACACTTGCCAGTTAGGAATGAAGAGGAGGAAAACAGCAGGATTACCATAACAAAATACAACTGTCATTTTTTGGAACAATTAGAATATTAATGGGTTTTATTTGTAAAACCCACTTGGGAGATCAGGCTCCAGCTTCAATTTGTAGTTCAGGTTTAAATCTGCTCGGTTAATTTGTCCTCTCAGACAGTTTTATAAATACGGTTACACAATGCTCTCATTAGTCACATATAGTACCGGGGACTGTTCTAAAATCTACTTTCTTGGCCAACAGATATGCCAGAGTCAGAAGCATGAAAAGAAAAAAAAAAAAAATGAAAAAAAAAATAGAAATGGTGAGGGTGAAACATAATACAAGCTCATCATCTAGGACTTCATTTTTTCTCTAAATAGATAGTCATTGCAATATTTCTTCCCCAAAAATATATATATTTATAAAATAAATAATAAAACTGTAAAGATAATTGCAGTTTGTACATATCTGAAAACTTCAACCTGACATGAAGGGACAATAATAAAGCATTTAGATAAGAAATTTGCTCGAGCACTCAGAATTGCCTGGCAGTCTACATACAACTCCAAACAGCTATTACAACTGATTTCCAACCTATTATAAAAGAAAATGATACAAAGCAAAATATGACAACATACAGTACACAAAGGTTCGGACAGGCTCTGCACCACTAAAAACTGCTACAGCTCTTTGCGACCAGCAGCACAAGTGAGACGTCCAACACTCGTTCAGACCGATTTGCTCAAGATTCCTACATCTGTGAAAAGTGCCTGAAAGATCCCACAGGAAACGATCTGTAACTGGAAAACCTTCCAAGCCATTAGACGTCAAAAATCAACAACTTTCACCTGAGTAGAGAGGGCTTTGGAAAATGTCTGTCTTCGGTTCATAAAACATAATGATATAAATTTAGACATCTGGTCTTGTACTGAGAACTAGGTAGAACGAAGGTCACTAAATCCCAACGTTTAACTCAGACTGCTTGGCGCTCTAGCCTATTACTGCCCAGCAGGTCTTGGTTCAGAGTCCCTTCTATGTGCCCAGATAGATCAGTCTAAGAGCACCGGTCAGAAATGCTGGTCTTGCTTTCGTCTAGATAATACACAGAATAATTAGAGTAATGGGAATTTATAAAACCAATATTCTTCTCACCACTGTTTGATTAGCTAAATGGGAACAGGAATTTTACACTGTCCCACCTGAGTGAGATATCTGTACCAAAAGGGTTTAAAGTCACGCAGGACTTTAGCTGTGTCAATACAGTGGCGTCACAAGGGTGGTGCAGCCTACACCGGGTGACACCAAAATTACTAAGTGTCATTTTGGTGTCACCCCCTCTGAGAAGTTGGGCACTCCCGTCATGGATCAAGAGCCCGACAGCTGCATGAAAGAGGTAAGGACCCAGCGACATATCTTATCCCACCGGATGAACATCCCATTCTCTCTTTGCCGGTGTCCATCACCAAGATGGCCGCAGGCAGTGATGTGCCCATGACATCATCACGCACATGCGTAATGACCTCACGTGTATATGTAATGATGTGCGCCCTGGGTATCGCTGCTGTGTCCACACATTAATTATTTTGATATTTTATTTAGTATCTTGTCTGTATTTTTCAATGTGATATAAGTAAATAAAAAAGTTAACTTTTTAGAGCTTTAAAAAAAATGTATGACCATTTTAATAGAAACAATCAAACTTCAATATTTCTGACAAAATAGCGTTAAAATAAAAATATATAAATACAACTGAGACTTTTAATTGCATCCGCATAAAGATGTATGCAAAAAAAAAAAGTGTGGGCAGCAACTGGCTAGTCATGCACCATTCGGCGTTTCATTATTTCCAGTGGAACAACCTAGCTCTTATTGGGATTTCCAAACCTAAGACATGAAATGCCACCATGGAGGACTTATGTCCTGTTCGTTGTTTGGTTGAATTGCTAACAAAATGTCCAAGCTGGTTTTGAAATCTTGGCAAACTACAAATGTGTTCTTACAATCACATACTATGTTATAGTAGTGATCTCCATTGGTGTTCGGGCCAGTCACATAACCAACCAATCAAATTCATCTAATGCATGGTGGGCCGTAAAATGGTGCTAATGACATCTGCATTTGTATGGACAATGAGTATTGCCAGTGTAGTTTCAATCAGTCCACGGTGATTGGAAACTAGCACAGAGCTCAACACATGCACACAGAAAACCCTTATGTACCCAGCCAAAAGAATGCGTACTTTATGATCACATAGTAAACAAACTACCTAAAAAGGAAAAGAAATGGAGGGCGAATAGCCAAGTGCTAAAGTCAGGAATATGGTGTGAACGGTACATTGTATCCTCACTTTGAACACAAGGAGACCAAAATATAAGCTGGAGCATTCTATTCTGCCAGACTAGAAACAATTGCATATAGCCAAAGTCTGCGCAGCATGAAAATAACAAAGTTAAGCAGCAATTTATGACATGTAACTGAACTAATGAGACAACTACAGTCTGGAGTGCCTTGCCAATCACTCCTGATCAGTAATCCCTTTATAAGATGCCAAAAATGTAGACGACCACCTCAGCTCATGACAAGGCAAATACATGACTTGAGCACTCAGCTTGACACAATTTCCAGAGACAGAGCCGAAGAAACGTAGGCTGCCACAAAGAGCCGACAAATAGTAAAAAAATAACTTAACAGGATGTGAATACCATTACAGTGAATCATTCAATATCAAGAAGCTAATTTCTACAGGTGGGCAAAAAAAAAGTGATCTAAAGCTAGCACTGCTTTAAATTCCACAAATATCCTCCACCACAAATTCCCCCAAAGCATCTGATAACTCGTGAAATCTAACAAAGACCTGCAGCTGAGCTTAAAGCAGTGCAGCCTACAGTGAGGAAACAAGTCATCAATATATTTCATATCATGTCCCACTTTTCTAGTAGTGTAAGGAACATCACATTCATACCTTGATTCATCATTGATTTTCATTCTAACCAAAACTGATACACGTATTAACATTACATTAGTAGTATTTAGACTTCGATAGGACCAACATAGCTATATCCTATAAATAAAAAATACATTTCTTTGATAACTGATTGGAGATGTTAGGACTCATAAATTTCAACCAAACGGCTGTATTCTGTACAGTCCTGTGCAAATTACTGGAAAAAATATATAATAATAAAAAAAAAAAAAAAAAGATAATTTTTTGTTATAAGGCTTTGACCCTACAGTTTTCACAGCAATAACTATTGTCCAGCACGGTACCATGTTTTACAAGCCTCTCTTTCAATGACGAATCATCAGTCAAATTAAGCATCCTGTCCAGCTGCAGCACCCTTGAGTTTAAATGCCTATTGGCAGTCAGTCGTCTATTGTCATACAAACATCTCCTGACCCGTCCCATCGAGGCTGGGGTTTTTGTCGCTCCCACTGTGAAGGATCATTCTGTTCTCCCCAGCGTGAAGCATCATTTTGCTCTGACCATCGACTATGATCATTTGGATCTTCTCCTTCATCCACCAGGTCATCATCTGCATCTACTGTCTCTACAGGGTCATTGTCATCGTATTCTTCATCTCTGGGGAAGTCCGCATCCGTCACCTGCTCTACACCAGCCTCCTGGAGTCCTGGTTGGGATTTATCCACACAGTCTACGCAAACTCCATAGCGCCGAGATCCGTGCCGAATTCCTACACTTGCTGCGAGCATGAAGATCTTTTTACACACCATGCACTTGTATTTCTTGTCTTTTTTATGCACCTGGACATAGTGAAATAAAGACATAAGAACTGTAGAATTATACAATGCATTAGAAAAACATATGCAAAAAAGTATTACAGCAGCCAGATTTAATTTATTGGACCATATAAAATAATCTTCTGCGCTATTGATTCTCTATTCCTAGTGCGCAGCTGCCAACACTTAGCATGCGAGATCACAAACAAAACCAAAGCTTTTTTTACTTTAGATTTCATATATTGAATTAAGATTAGTGGAAAATTGTTTGCGTTTAGGTGCTAGGCATTTTTTGATCTTGTGAACCTTAATAAAACAAGAAATTTCTCATTAGAAAAACCCCAAAATAAAAATCACTAAAATCTAAGAGTTTTAAAGCTGTACCTTCCCTTCACTCTTCAGGGGTGTGGAAACTAAAATAAAAAAAAAGTGTGTCCAAGGACTAATGCGGGAGCCCAATCTACTGGTCCCTCATGACAATCTACTTGTCCTGATACAAAAAAAAGTAAAAACCTATTTAACCATGCGAAGAAGTGCTTCTCATTGGTCAGCGTTGTCACCTGACAGTGCTGATCAACGAGTGCTCACAATTTGCGAGTGAAATTCAAAATCTATAGGGCAGGGTTGTGCTGGACGGCAGTATGGGGAACAGATAGGACCCGTACTGGAGGAGGGGAAGGACCGTGTGCCGAAAGGCAAGTATAGCCTTGGGGGAGGGAATGTGGGAAGAGTGGGCCAGATTTGAGCGGGTAATTCCATTTTCCCAAATTACTTGGGAAAGTAAACTTACCCTTTAATGCACATTGCGCGTGTTAGAGAGCACTGCTTATTCACATGCAGATGGTGGCGGGGGCCGGGGTTGGTTTAAATTTTTCTGCTGTTTTACCAGTGTTTAGGTTTTTATTTTACTTGTTTAAGTTTTTTTTTTATTCACTTAACTTTATTATTATCACACAGGGTCTAACTAGCCCCTATGTGATAGGTGTTTGGAGGCAACAGATTTTCCTTATGGAATCTGCCCTCCAACAAAGAACACTGAGCAACTGCATTGTGCTCGATCTTCTGTGCAGCTTGTGACAGCTGAGATAGGGGGCACTGTGAGTACAGCGTTCTGTCTCACTGATCAGAGAGCAGAGCTCCCCATCTTGAACGGATTGTCGTGGTCCCGGGTCAAGATCTGAGATCACGTGTACAAAATGAGAAGCGGCACCCCCGGTATATATTTCGCTCTGCTAGCCCGTAACAGGGCTAAATGTAGAAGGAAAAAAACGACCGCATGTCTTGGGCGTTGGGTGATCGGAATTCCACACCCCTGCTATTGCAGAGTTGTATAGGCTCCTCTCCTGCACAATGTTGAAAGAGGTCACGCAGTAAAAGTAAAGCCCATTAACCACTTCAAGACCAGGTGTTTAGACCCCCTTCCTGGCCAGGCCATTTTTCAGTATTCAGCGCTGCGATACTTTGACTGACGTTTATTCCGTCATGCAACGCTGCACTGAAATTAATTTTACACCATTTTTTGGGGACAGATAGAGCTTTATTTTGGTGGTATTTAATCACCACTGCGGGTTTTATTTTTTATTATAATTATTATAATTAGGAAAAATTACTGAAAATTTTGAAAAAAAAAAAGGTTTTTTTTTACATTATGTTAGGAAACATTTATTATTACCCAGTTTTTTGGTCAAATATTACAGCAGAGGGAGGGGGGGGGCGCACCGATCGTCGCTAAATAAAAGCGATCCGCCGGCTATAAAATGTATATTAACGGGCATCGCTGCCCGTTTTTAAATTGCGGCAATTTCCCGCTCGCGCACGCCCGGCGGCGCACGCGCAAGGGGGCGTGTCTGAGCGGACGTCTAAAGATGCCCGCTCAGATCTAGAGAGCTCCTGGCCGGCCGTTTTTTTTACTACGGCCGGCCCGGAGGCAGTTAATAAATATCTTCCTCAACTCTAAGGTTGCATTCACACCAGCAACTGCACATCAATGATATCCGGTTATGAAAGGTTTACACACAGTAACTGCAGAAATGTTCATAGTATCTTGTCGGGGGAAGGTTCCGAGTTTCAATCATATTAGAGCCTTCAGTATCACTTTATTACGCACTACGTCTTTCAACTAATGACAAAACATGGCTACATTTATGGAAGCACAAATGCATCACCCTACAACACAATGCCTATGAACTCCCATGAATCCAGGAAAGAGGTATTCACCTTGGCGGGGTGGAGGGGGTTGATTCAATCAAGTTACAATACATCAATGCCTGCCTGTTTAGGAGGCACCTCCATATTCTGCTCCACTATCATTCCATACCATTTACTTTAGATAAGTCATAAGTACCATGACTATTAGTGCAAAGGATAGCAACCTGCAAAAGGATATTGCAAACTGTCCCGTATTTCAGACCTTTACCAGACAAATGAAAGGCTGCAGATAAAATTAGGATGAATGCTGGCATACTCCCTGCAGCCTCACGTGGCTGAAATTTTAGCCAATAACTAGTAACTCTAAAATTCAAGCCGCGTGTAGCCCTGTGGACTGATAGACGTGGGTGCTGCAGATGCATAAAAACAATAGCCAGCAGCGAAGATTTCTTCATCCACACTGTTTTGCATGAATGGAGAAATCTACTGTGGGCAGTAGAAGAGAAATCTATGCTTACACAGTCTAATTCTTTAGAACAAGCGGTTTTAGACAGGGCTATGTCATTAGCTTAGAGAAGTAAAACTTACCAAGGAATGTCTCTTGACATGCTCTCTTCTAGTGAACAGCTTTCCACAGATGTCACAGCTAAAAGATCTCACTCCTGTGTGAATGAGCAAGTGTCTTTTAAGTGTTCTTCTGTATTTTGCGACATAGTTGCAGTGAGGACATTTTAATTTATTCATGTTCAGTAGCCCAGAGGATGCATCTCCTAATAAAAAAAAATTAAAAAAATAGGATTGTAGACAACAATGAATAACTGAAAAGTGAAAACTGTGAATTCGGAAATAAGTTTACTGCAATGGAAGTGATAACTAATCCATTTAAAGAGAAGCCAAAACGGTATTTTAAGCAAGTATATTAAGCTACTATTGAAATACAGTGGTACCTCGGTTCACGAACTTCATTCGTTCCACGATTCTGGTCGTGAACCGAATCAAACTGTGATCAGACCACGATCTCGACTAGAGGAAGCCAAAACCAGTGTCAGAGCGGGGAAGATGGCTGCGGTTGTGTTCGTCACCTGATGCGGAGTAAGTGAACGGAAGCTAAATTCTGCCGAACTTCCTGTTCGTGAACTGAGGTATCACTGTATTTGTGCAAATATAAAATCTTAATAATTCCATATTAGCTGAACACTATATTTTTGCTTCGAAGTAAAACCTACGGGCTCAATTTACCATGCAACCACAGATCTATAGAGCAGGCACATCCCAAGGCTTACCAATATGCTTCTTTTTTCTTCAGAGTACTTGATTACTCCCAAAACCTGGGCCCCTAATGAGCAAATACTGACCACAGTTTTCATAGGCTCACCCCCAATGACTATTTAAAAAGACACCAACCAACAATACAGAGTTAGGCAGGAAAGCAATGTAAGGCAATCACTAAGCAGTACTACAAAGCAGAATGCAGTCTGCATTAGTAGTATGCCATAAATATGTGTGCACGCACGCCATTTTCATAATAATTGCATATTATAAACGCATATATGATGTAGTGATGTCTATGCATTTTAAACATTTCCTTCCATATGCATTTTAAAAAGGCATTTCCCGACACTTTCCAATTATGAACTATAAAAAAAACAATGCAAATGGTACATACTTGCAAGCTACTTTTGTAAACTACAGAACATCACCTCCCTGGGATGAGAGGGGAGGTGGTTTATAGTCTAAACAAGGGGAGCAGCCAAGGGTAATAACACTGCCCCTTTATCAATACAGTATAGAGCAGGAGAGCGAGCACTGCCACGCTATGATTAGTGAATGACTGCTGGGATCCCCAGGTGAAAATAAAGGGGAAAAAAACTAATGCAGCCATCACATCTAAAGACTGGTGAGCAACAATATACAACATTTGTGTTCTGTAAATTAGATACAATCTAAAGAGCTTGAAGTGTATTATGCAGCCATATACATCACATTTAAAAAAAAAAAGAAAAAAAGAAAGGAAACAGAAGACAACTACAGACAGCAGGCAAACAGTCACTGGCTTTTGGATCAGCTACAAAAGACAGGCCTATTGTTATATGGGTCATTTCTAGTGCTGCACTGAAATAGAATATTCAGAACAAAACTAAAAAGTTTGTCAGGCTGAAACAGAAAAAAACATTTTCTAACCTTTTTACGGGTTTTTTTTTTTTTAATACTGTCGGGGGCTCTGGGAAATCATTAGGGGTCTAAACAAACCCCTGATATTTCTTTTAAAATAGAAAGAGATTGAGGACACACAGAGTCCGCAATCTCTTTTTCTGCGGCCCCTGTTATGAATGAACAAACAGGAAGCCTCTATACTGAGTGTTCCTGTTCATTCATAACTAGAAAGAAACTATAGATGTACCGCATTTTCAGCCCCCTAAAAATGGTAGTTTCTGCATTTTGCCCAAAGTACCTTTTTCGGCCGTAGCTGCCCAAATTTGGGTGCATCCCTAGTAATTTCTATGAAAAGCTCCTGTAATGTTTCATATAAGCACCAGTTACTGTACATATTCCTCCCCTGAAAGCAGAGATAGTTTATTATTACACAAACAAAAACACTTTTTGCAGGTACCGTAGAAAGTGCAGCAAATGAATGCTTTGTCAACAGTGTCATGAAGTGTTCATGTCAATTCAGCCTTTCAGTACCGGTAGCTGGAACGTGTGTTCGAGGAGCACGCCCTAGGCACATGTGTTCACTGATTCTTAGGTAAAAAACACAAACAGCTTACCATTCTCCCACGTTTCTCTTGGCCATGGCTCGGGGAACATGCCAAATTTGAACTCTTTTGAGGTTCCTGAAAATACACAATACATGTATAAGATTATAAAAAATATTCTGTAATTAACAGCTTCACTAACAGCTATGTAATGTATGAGTTTATCACATTCTAGCAAAGAGGACACTAAGAGGACCACACTAACATAAAACATGTTTACAGGAGAAGATGGCAGAGTGATCACCAGTCTGCTTCTGCTCTTTCACTGTCCAATCATAAGATGGGAAAGGGGGGGCAGTATTGCTTAATTGCAGTACAGAACTGCCCGACTATACAGGCAAGCACGTTTGTGTAAAGCTGGCCATACATTATGCAAATTTCGTCCAGCTCTTCATGATGCCACTGTCGGTACCCTTCTGGCCAGTATTCTTCAATCAGCTGATCGAAGGAGCAGGTCAGAAAATCTCCGAATGAACAGAGCCGGCGGCCAGTCAGAATACAAAGGAAACATTGGGGGATTCTATGATCAATACTCTAATTGTTGATGGGAGTCCATTCTATTTTTTCGTTCAACCCATGGGCTGAACGAAAAATATACAACAGTGTACAGTCAGCTTTAGATTTTGTAAAAGAACATTTGTATGAAAGAACTTTTTTTCGCCTTTCGGAAAATGTTTCTCAAATGAACGAAATTCTAACAGTAAATGTGGTTTTTTTTTTGGGAAACTCCGTTCATTCCAAAACGGAATGTTAAAATCAAATAAAATTTCATTCGTCATTCATCAAGTGTCTGATGGCATTATCGGGTGGTAAAGGAAGATCTTTCAAATCTACTAGTGTATGACTAGCTTACATTTCAAGTTCAGATGAATACCTGTGGCAGGGAAAACAGTTCCCATACATGTACTTCAACTGTGTGTTTGCCTGGCACTCAGCTTTGAATGTTTTCATGGTGGCACTAAAAGCCTACTTTGCATGTATAGCAATCATAGGACTATGATTATAGGATATATTTCAGTTTCAGGCAGGCGGGCAAAAGACCAACGTGTATTTGTTTGTATAAAAGCATATAAAAGTAATTAATTTCAGCCAGTGAAGTTTCAGGGATGCCTTTTAGATATTTAGTGCAATTGACTATAAGCAGAATCCTTTGTGAGCTATTAACATCTAAATGAACATAAGTAAATAAAATGGTGGCCTGACTTTAAAGCTCCCCAGACAATTCTCACTAAACTTTAACCACTTTTCATCCCCCAAGAATCACAAAAATGATTGCAAGTTATCATCAGAATCTAATCCAACATCCCCCAACAATTTGATTAACCACCAGAATCTTTTGCTTATGAAGTTAAATTTGGACATTACAGTGACAGCTTCAATATAGTTTATGAAAAGACCACGTAAAACCAGAAAATTACAGCCATGTCTTCAAAAGCCAACAAATGTCTCCATCAAGTTCAATAAAGGGCAATTTCGATCCCATCCCCTCACATTTGAGCAAAAACCCACCATCTTATGAAACTTGGGACGGGCGCCACGCTCACGCTTGAGCCATTCACACTGTGCCGAGACCAGCTTTTCTCTGAACATGAGCAATGCTGGTTTCTACAATTGTCTTATATCTGCCCTGTTTACACCACAATGGGGTGGAGAGGTGTGGGGGAAATGGGAAAACAAACAAAAAAAAAAACACAGTGCCTAGTAGGGATGCATTCAAATTAAATTTGTAGAACAAAACCAACTTTCTAAATTTGTGAGACGGAAATCAATGTGTTTTCTTTTTTTAACTTAAACGTTAGGGGCTATTGGGAAATATCAGACATCTAAACAGAAAAAGAGTGAGGACACAGAGTCCCCAATCTTTTTCTACAGCCCCAGCACTCAATGAACAGGAAGTTCTAAATACAGAGGCTTTTTGTTCATTCACAATCTGGTGATAGTAAATATTTACCATCAATGCAGTCATAAATGGACAGAAAGCCTCTGTTCATTCATAAACTGAGCAGATTGTAAATATTTAATAAGTCCCCATTCATAAATGAACAGGCAGTGATGTATTGCACTTCCGATTTGTTCATAACTGGGGACAGAGTAATCACTACGTCCATAGCCATTTACAAACACTGAGTGATCAGTACTGATTGCTCAATGTTTGTGCTCCGCTCTCATTCCTGACTGCTCCACCCCCTCCTGCCTGTCACTGGAGCCGAGCCCTCCTCCCTGCATTGCATCCTAACAGCTTATCTCCAGTAGCTGGATCAGCCGTACCCCCTCTGGTCCCCACTGCCTCTGCTGGCACAGACCGGGGAGAGGAGCAGGGAGAGGAGGGGACAGAGCGACACTTGCAGCCAGCGCCTAGCTGGGAGGAGAGAAGCTGGGGATGCACCATATTTTCAACCTGTTTGCTGGTACTATATGCATTTTCCCATAGTACCATGTACGGCGGTCGAATTTTCGGAGCATCCCTAGTGCCTAGCATTGTAAAAATGCACAAAGACAGCAGCCCATAGGCCAAAAACAGACCAAGTGTGTGCACTGGTGTAAACAACCCCTGGCCAGCTATACAGCAGCAGGGAAAGTGACGCCAAAATGAAAAATTTCAAAAACGTAATGGCGAAACTTTAAAGTTTACATTGTCAAAAAATACTGCGTGAACAGGTTCTATGTGGCAGCATGAACAGAAGAAACATATTGACAAACTCCCCCCCCCCGTTGCAGCATTTGTATGTACATGGTCTTTGTCTGGGAGCACAGCTCATGTTACATCTAGAATGGAAGGTGTGGTGTCTGACTACACAACATAGAATAGAGCCCCCAGGTGTATTTCTTTACACTGCCTCATCACAACAGCCAGTTGTAAGGAAAAGAACTTCATACCCAACAGACCAGCACCATTCACTACATCTCAAACCACCACATGAAAACACAAAACAGGCAATGCTGGATTAACTACCTGCAATGGCAAAAACACAAATTTTTTTATTACATGGGAAGAGGTACGAACTTGATACATGCCACCAACGTGGCAATCAGAGCACCGTGCAAAATGCTCTCATTAAAAGCACAATTTAAGAGTCAGAGAAAGTGCTTTCAGAAACAGACTCAAAAGACAAAAAGGGGCTAACTGGGTATTTTTTTAAATATGCATCAGCTACATGGCTCCTAAGTTGTGACCAGCCCTGGCAATACTGCCTGAGCATTTCATGTTAAAACTTAGGCGCACCAAAAAAACCCAGCATCAACTCAAGAGATTACTTTAATTTTGTACTTATACTAGCATAGAGATGATTACAATGTAACATTATCATCCCACAATTCCCTGCATAGCTGAACTCAATCATATTTAGAGCCCATTCACACCATAGTGTTGTGTTAATGAATGGCATCCCAACACACCCCCTGGTTCTGGGAGAAAGGTGTTTTAAAGCTTACAACTGGGTACTGCAGCAGAATGAGGATTCTTTTAAATGCAATGAAATCTACAATAGTTAAAGCAGAACTACAATTTCATTTAATCCCTACAACATATTTGGAAAATGATGTGCATGTATGCAACCTGCAAATCCATGTCTCCTTTGCCTTATTCAACAGTTGCAAATATGCTGCAGGAGGACTCGGTAATCTCTATGACCTCTGGGTTTAGCGTCACTGGCAGGAAGTCCCCGGAGGTCACAGGCTTTTCCCCACCTCTTCTGGAGTATGTCAGAGTCTTCTGGCGTGTTGACCTTTTACAGTAGGCCCTTACAGGAGTTCTAAATGACAAAGAAGTTTCCCGGGCTTCCCGATCATGTAAACATGGTGATTGGCTGTCAAATTGATCACGTGACTAGGAATTTGTCCTACTGTCTCCCAATTGTAAACAGTGACTGCAAGCTGCCAGTGACAGCACGATCACAGTGCTCGGTGCGCCAAGAAAGCATGCTCCCACCACAAAACACCAGCACCGGCTGTAAACATACATGTGGCAGCATGGCATTAAAGCCCACTGCTGTGCTACCACATATCGGTATGGACAGTATATTTTGGCTCATCCCACTCCTATGCAGCCTCTGAGTCCCTCCTCGTTCTTACATAGCTCATGGCATAGGAATTTGTATGGTACCCCTTTGTAGCCTTCGGGTTAGAGAGGAGGGGGGGGGGGTTGGCATTCTCACCTTCAATATTCCCTAAATCTACCTCTGTCTTTTCTGACATCTTTCCCTGTGGCTGCTGGCACTTTCTACCCACCTATCTCCTTTGTTCAATCAAATCGCCCCAATAATAGCACCTCAGATGTAGCAGCACAAGAAAAAAACACTGAACACATAGAAATAAAGGGTGCAGGTAGAGCCACCCTAATACACATCCAATTGCTTTTAGGGTGACGGGAGGACGCTAGTTTGTGTCCTCCCGTTACCCTAAGGAGAACTATGGGGAAAAGCCTTAACCCCATTGTTCTCCTTTAAGATAGTAGCCGGAGATTACATCCTGTAGGAAAAATGAACATCACTTCCACCTGACGCAGGCACCACCTTCATAAGCATTGACAGGAGATTTCTGCAAGATGGAAGGTTTACAGGTATGCATGCACATTTCTTATCCTAGCTATTTTATGGGGATTATATGAAAACAATGAGAAGTTTACAGTCTGTGAATTACAGTATTCAGAACATATCTTTTGGCCACGTATAAATAATAGAAAAGTTTTTGGGCTGTAGATTCTATGGAGAGCTATAATCATTCTTTAAATTTATTTCTTCTGATACATTAGAGCAGGGATAAGCAAACTCCGTTCCCCCATCATGCATCTACCTTTTGGAAATTTTGCATCACCTTTGTGGCCTGAGGTGAAGTGCAGAGCACATAAAGGATGTTTTCTGTGTTTACTTACAACAACATGCATAGAAAAGAGAGGAGGGAATCTGTACACATGGGTAGCGATAAAGAATGGAAAGAAATTAAGTTTATGCAGCTACTAGCAGCAAAAACTCTCATGCCAAATTTGATTTGTACAATTCACTTATGTAACTACCCCAAGTAGTGCACCATGATCCAACCACCATCCAATCAGAGGTGCATTCAGCAGTTAAAAGAACCCC